TGTGTGTGTGTGTGTGTGTTGGTGTGTGTAGTGTGTGTGTGTGGTGTGTGTGTGTGTGTGTGTGTGTGTGTGTGTGTGTGTGTGTGTGTGTGTGTGTGTGTGTGTTTTGTGTTGGTATGTCTGTGTGTTTGTGTTGGTATGTGTGTGTGTGTGTGTGTATTTAGATATATATTCATATATAAATACAAACACACACACACGTCCGCACATGCACACGTGTGTGTGTGTGTGTGTGTACACATACACACACGCACATACATACATACATATATACATATATACATACATACATACATACACACACATTTGTATCGTGTATCTTCAGTCCAAATCGCTCACGCCTCACGAGAGCGGCCGCAGTCGTCACAGTCCCCGGAGGAAGTTCAGCGAGGCACGCGGCGCCGTGTTCCCACGCCTCCTTCCGACGGGAAGGAGGCGTGGCGCCGGTCCGCTCTGTCCCTCTCGGTCGCCTGGCAACAGCAGTGCCACATAACACCCTCACCGATGACACACCCGCACGGTGCCATGTGGACCACCTGCTGAACATCATGGTCGAATCCCTTGGCAGTGGTCTAAACAACCTGCGTATCTGAACCCAGCGTTACTTCCCTCTGCTATCAGTGCTCGGTGCGATGACGCCAAAGCCCGGGTTCTGACGTCCCTACATATGTGGGTGTACTCAAGGCCGCACAGCTTTGCGTCTACTCACTATGTGGGCGAAACAGGTAACATCACTTGCCTCTGATACCAATGCACATTCTGTCTATCTATCTATTTCTCTCTCTCTCTATCGCTCATCCGCCCCGCCCCCCCTTTCTCTCTCTCTCTCTCCCTCCTTTCTGTATCTCACATACGTTCGTTCATTCTCACATCAAACTCTTTGCATACATCAATATGCACCTTTGATACCAATGCAATTCTCTCTTTCATTCCTGTCTGTCTGTCCCCTGTCTCCCTCTTCCTCCCACTCCTTCTCTGTCTCTGCCTGTCTGTCTGTCTGTCTCCCGTCCCCCCCTCTCCCTCCCCTCCCCCCACCCCCACCCCCACCCCACCTCCCTCTCTCCCTCTCTCTCTCTCTCTCTCTCTCTCCTCTCCCTCTCCTCTCTCTCTCTCTCTCTCTCTGCTCTCTCTCTCTCTCTGCTCTCTCTCTCCTCTTTCTCTTCTCTTTCTCTCCTCTTTTCTCTTTCTCTCTCTTTTTCTCTCTCTATTTTTCTCTTCTCTTTCTCTTCTCTTTTTTTTTCTTTCTTTTTTTTTCTTTCTCTTTCTCTCTCTTTCCCTTTCCCTTCCAATCGCCTTCTTCCATCCTTCCTTCCTTCTTCCCTTTCTTCCTCCTTCCTTCCTTCTTTCCCTTCACTTCCTTCTTCCTTCTTCCTTCTTCCCCTTCTTCCTTTCTTCCTTCCTTCCTTCTTTCCCTTCCCTCGCCCTTCCATCTTCCCCTCTACCCTTTTTTTTCTCCATCTCTTGCGCTTTCCGCCTTCTTTCTTATCCTCTCCCAGACCCTCTCCAACCTCCCTTGCCGTCTTCTACCACGACATTTTTCCTAATTTCCTTCCTTAACCTTCTCCTTTCTCCTTCCCTACCTTCCCCTTTCTTCCCATTTCTCACTTCTAAAAATGGCTTGCATTGTGACGATGCACACTTGGGTATCCTTGTACAACGAGCAAGGACGAAATCGGGTGTATTGTTGAAGCGCCCCCCCAGTGTCCACCTCGTCCAATCTGCATCACTTCCACCTCACTATACTTTTCTTCTTCTTCTTCTTCTTCTCCTCTTTCTTTCTCCCCTCCTCTACCATTTCTTCGCCTTCCTTTTCCTCTTCTTCATCTCCCACTGCTCCTTCTGGTGTTTCTTCCTCCTCTACCGCTGTCGCTCCTCCTTCTTCGTCTTCGTAGCGACCGTACTCGTCCTCGCCGCGTCCCGCCCCTTCTTCGTCCTCGCCGCGTCCCGCCCCTTCTTCGTCCTCGTCCTCGTCCTCCTCGTCTTCTAACGGGGTCTCTGGAGGCAAGCCGTCGCCTTCGTCCGCTTCCTTGACTTCCGCTTCTCCTAAGGAGTAAGAAAGGGAGTGGACGGCTTAAGTGATATGGACTTCTTTACGCTGTCCTTTATTGGCGCTTTCATAAACACGGTTTCATTTACTCTTTTTCTCTCTCTCCCTTTCTCACTGTCTTTAACTCACTCACTCACTCAACTCACTCACTCACTCACTTCACTCACCTCACTCACTCACTCACTCACTCACTCACTCCACTCACTCTCTCTTGCACTTGATTTTGCTCTTGCTTTTGCTTTTGCTTTTACTTTTGCTCTCGCTCTTTCTCTTGTTCTCGCTCTCGCTCTCTTCTTTTTCTTCTTCTTCCTCTTCTTCCCCTTCTTCTCCTTTTCACTTTTCAGAGAGAGCATAGAGGATGCCCTTACCATCGTAACTCTCAGCTAAATCTTGATTCTCCGCATCGTCCACTGCCTTCTGATCTCCTTCGTTATTTCTTTCCTCCTCTCTGTATTTGGCCGCGCGCGTCCCGGCACCTCCTGAACAAAAATGTAAACATATTAATAAATACCTGAACGGGTTGATATAAGGAACACTTGTAAAACATATGTCGTCCAGGACATATTTATCTTAATAATCACCACATATACATGAATCATGTAAACGTGCATACTAGTTTTTCATCTACATATGGCTAGACTAAGAAATAGTTCGCGTATGATTCCTAAAACTAATGCTAATCCCCGCATTTCTCCACTTATTATCCTTCTCTCGGTGTTCCTAAGCAGCCACCACCGGAACTAAGTTTCCCAAAGCCTCAACTAGTCCTCCGTGAGAGGGAGTTGGACGTCCACACCACGCACGCCACAGCCACCGCGGCGCCCTTTGGAAGATGCAATTCCTAGGCTAAATGGTTCTCATTCTAGTTGCACTGATGCTACGTCGCCATTCTCTGTTTTGGTGTCTGGGTGTCCGCGTCTTGAGCAAACGCAAATGTAAACACAGATGAGAAACGAAAAGAAACTGAAATTTTGGGCGTAACATACAACTTAATGAGGTTTTCCCGAGTAGTTGATATGGGAACATTCAGAGTGAGGAAGACGGCGTTGACAGGAGAGCTAATAATGATCAGGGAGAAGAAAAAGAGAAAAATAGACTAAAAAAAAAAAGATTAACATATGTAAATATATGTAAAAATATACATAAATATATCATAATTATGTACACACACACACACACCACACACCACACACACACACACACACAACACAGCACACACTATAAATATATATATATATATATATATATATATATAGTTTATAGTTACCTAGTATATATATATATATATATATAGAGAGAGAGAGACGGAGACCGAAAAGAGGAGTAGAGAGAAGAAGACTGAAGACGAACCGACGAGTACCGAGAGACACGTGCCGTATGAGACGAGATGCAGCAGAGGAAAGATAACTAGAGGAAAGATTGGAGAGAGAAGGACAGAGAGACAGAGAGACTAGGACAGAGTGGAGACCAGATGGACATGACGAGATAGAGGAAGACAGAGAACAGACAGACAGGGGAGACAGAGACAGACACGACAGGAGGGAGCAGAGCCCAGAAGACAGAGAGAGACAGAGAAGGGCGTCGGAGGACGAGAGAGAAGATGGAGAGAGACAAAGAAGAGAGATGACCAGCAGACAGAGAGAGACAGACGACAGAGACTGAGAGAGAGAAGAGAAGAGACGAGAGAGATCGGAGAACCGAAGGAGAGAGACCGAGAGGAATGAGCGAGAAGTGAGAAGGAGAGAGGAGAGAGGACAGCAGGAGAGAAGAAGAGAGACAGAGAGACGTAGAGAGACGAGAGAGAAAAGCAGAGTAGGAGAAGAAGAAAAGATGAGGAGAAAGGAAAGAGAGAGAGAGAAAACGGAGAGACCGGAGAGAGAGGACGGAGGAGTGAGATGAAAGCGATGAAAGAGAGAAAAGATGAGAAAAGAGAGAGATGAGAGAAAGAGAGGAGAGAAAGAGAGAAGATGAGAGACCGAAGAGAGAGAGACGGAGATGACGAGAGAGAGAGAGAGAGAGAGAGAAGAGAGAGAGAGACTCGACGAGACGAGAGAGAGAACAGGAGACAGAGACAAAGCCACAGAGAAGAAGAGAGACGAGAGACCCGACGACAAGAGAAGGAGACCGGAAGAGAGAGAAGAGAGAGAGAGATGGACAGAGACAAAGACATGAGGTACAGAGACGAGAGAGAGAGAGCAGAGAGGATGAGAGAGAGAAGAGAGAAAGTTAGAGAGGAGAGAAGATGAGAGAGAGAGAGAGAGAGAGAGAGAGATCAGACGAGACAGACAGACAGACAGGGAGAAGACAGACAGACAAGAGAGACGAGACTCAGACAGCACAGAGAGAGCGAAGACAGACCCAGTAACAGAGCAGACAGGAACGGACAGACCAGGAGAGAGACAGAGGAGCAGAGACCCAGAGAGAGACAGACACGACCGAGAGGCACCCGGACAGAGAGAGACCAGAGAGAAGGACACGCAGAGAGAGAGACAGAGAGAGCTGAAGATATGTCAGAGAGAGAACGAGAGGGAGAAGAGAGACGAAGGAGATCCCGACGGCCTAGAGAAGACAGAGGAGACGAAGATGCCCGCGAGCTAGAGCCGAAGCACGAGAAGTGAGAGAGAGAGAAGACGAGTAGAAGGAGGAGAGAGGACAGAAACACACACAGAGAGATGAAGAGAGAGAGAGAGAGAGAGAGAGAAGGAGAGAAACGAGATAGAGATGAGAGACGAACATAGAGGAAGTGAGAAGAGAGAGAAGAGAGAGAGAGACTGAGGACCGAGAGCAGAGACAGACAGACAGACAGACAGGGACAGAGAGACGAGAGAAGAGAGACGAGAGAGACAGACAGACCAGGAGAGCAGAGAGAAGAGAGGACAGACAGACAGAGAGAGAGAGGGGTGGAGAGCACAGACCAGCATGAGAGTGAGAGAGCAGGAGAGACGAGAGACGA